CCCACGAGGAGACCACTCGTTCTGTCCTATAACCCTTTGCGAGGCAACTCCCACGAGGAGCCAACTCCCTCGGGTCTACCAACCCACAACGAGACAACTCTCACGAGGAGCAAACTCGTTCGGTCCTATAACCCGTTGCGAGCCAACTCCCACGAGGAGCCAACTCCCTAGGGTCTACGAACCCACAGCAAGATAACTCCCACGAGGAGCCAACTCCCTCGGTACTACCAACCCGTAGCGAGACAACTCCCACGGAAGCCAACTCGCTCGGTCCTACGAACCCGTTGCGAGGCAACTCCCACGAGGAGCCAACTCCCTCGGAACTACCAACCCACAACGAGACAACTCCCACGAGAAGCCAACTCACTCGGTACTACAAACCCGCAGCGAGACAACTCCTACGAGGAGCCAACTCGCTAGGTACCATACCCGCAGCGAGACAACTCCCACGAGAAGCCAACTCACTCGGTACTACAAACCCGCAGCGAGACAACTCCTACGAGGAGCCAACTCGCTAGGTACCATACCCGCAGCGAGACAACTCCCACGAGGAGCCAACTCACTCAGCACTACAAATCCGGTGCAAGGCAACTCCCACGAAGAGCCAACTCGCTCGGCACTACAAATCCGTTGCAAGGCGACTCCCACGTGCTGCCACCTCGCTCGATAATAAGACTCGCTGCGAGACAACTCCCACGAGGAAACAAATTGCTCATAGCGACCTCAATCAGCACGCTCCCCAGTCGTGCGTCATCCAATGCTCCTACAACTTCGCTGCGAGACAACTCTCATGAGTAGACAACTCGCCCGAAATTCACTATATAATCGCAAGCTCAAGTTAGCACGATTAAAACCCTAGAAACACTTAGAGATATTATGTGGATCTATATAGTCTGGCCAACTTGATTACTTAAATTTATCTACTTGTTTTCGATGGGTCCTTCATTAAAACGTGGCCACGGTCCAAACACACTTATGACCCACGAGGTCTAACAAGGGGCACGATCCCCATAAAAAATCTTGAGAGTCTCATCCCCTCCTCAAGTACATCATGCACAAGGCTATATGTAAACACATACAAGCAACGCGTCAAAACATTGACAATGTCGATAAATAACAACTCCCACGAGGAGAATACTCGTTCTGTGCTACTACATTATCGCGAGACAACTCCCACGAGGAGATAACTCGATCAGCTCTATTACCCCGCGACGAGACAACTCCCAGGATGAGATAACTTGATCCGAGCTACTACATCGTCGCGGGACAACACCGACGACTCAAGTAACTTACATCGCGACAACTTGGTTGCGCTACGCGCCAACGCGTCTTCACGCCCCTCCGACACACGCTCCAATGCGTTTTCGCACACCATTAGGCCATATGCCAACGATCGACTTCTACAATTTTTACTCTCGACACGATCCGACACCCATTTCAACATGGCCCCCACATCGACTCGAGAGTGGGGGGCTTAATGATATGCATAATTGAGCCAACCCAATGAGCCTACAAATTATTTACCTACTGGGCCACAAGCCCAATATCGAAGACTATTATCACCGATGCCCAATCACCTTCAAGTAAGGTTTGGGCCCGACAATCTCAACTAAGCTATAAATAAAGGTTTGAACTCATTCCTTAAGGTACGTCCTATTAACTGAGCAATACTATAATATGTTTTATCTGATCTATTTCTATGATCAACACGTCTGACTTGAGCGTCGGAGGGGTTTCCGCCGGATCAACCCCCGACCTAGTTTACGTGTTCTATGATCGCAGGTATCTCAAGGTCATCAAGCTCGTGAGCCAGTGATCCACTCTGCTCTTCCAGCTCGTCCTACTTCAACTCTCTAAGGTGATTTATCTTTAGCGTCATCAGTAACTTACATTTATATATATATTTCATCATGTTTAATTCAGTAATTAAGGAAGGTACGTAAGTTTTTGTATATCATTTTATTTGGTTCATATATATAAATCTTAGGGTAAATTACACATACACCCCTAAGGTATGTTAAAATAACTTTAAGGTCCCTGTAGTATTGGTAATTACAATCGCCCTGAAACATTGTTAGAAATCCTTACGGAATAATGCATTGGATACGTTATTCCGTTAGAGTTATAACGGACTATTATTTTCAAGCAGTAATGGAGACAACATAGAGCTAGGGGGTGACATGGCTCTTCTAGCATTTCTTACAATCCTTATTATTTTATATAAGTTTTATAAATTTCCGTCTATGGTAGTATTAACGACCCCGTGAAAAACAAATATAGTGCATATCGGTCCCCAGGGCATGAAATCTTGGTTCTGATAAGTGATAATTGGTTCAGGGGTGTGGCTGTAATTACTAATACCACATGGACATCAAAGTTATTTTAGCATATCTCAGGGGTGTAGGTGTAATTTACCCTAAATCTTATAATGCTTTTAAATTTTCTCAGGTGGGATATGGCTGAAATTGATGGACTCCCGGATTACATGAAAATTGCTTATCGATTTATTATGAGCATGTACGAAGATTATCAAGTTGATGCAGCAACACATGAAAAATCATTTGCATTTCCTTATTTCATAGAAGCGGTAATATTTATATATATAAGGGCCAATTTTTAACTATCTAGAATAGGAATCTAAAATTTTATTTCTTATTTTTATTTTTTAAATGATGTTTCTTTTATATATATTGATCAACAATTTGTGACACATGCTATTGATTTTGTAATGGATTCAGGTAAAACAAATTAGTAGAGCTTACAACCAAGAGCTAAAGTGGGTAATGGAGAGAAAGATGCCTTCATTCGAAGACTATATCGACAATTCGTTGAGTACCAGCTGCTTTTACGTGATATTCTCCGCTCTTGCTCTCGGCACGAAATCTGTCACTAAAGAAACCATTGATTGGTTGTTGGCGACCAACCCTAATATTGTAGTTACAGCTGCTAAGTTTGCTCGACACCTTGAGGACTTGGGCAATGGGCAGCCATGAAGTACGAGCGCGTGCGCACTCACACACATGTAGATACATATATATGATTACTATAATTAAAGGGTAAATAGCACTTAACTCCCCTATGGTTATAAAATTTTGCAGATAACCCCTTTTTCCTCGTAATATCACCTCATAACCAACCCCCCTGTGATTGATAGGGGTAACGTCCGTTAGTTTTTCCGTTAAACTTAACTGTGCATGTCAAATTTCAAAGGGAAAATGTGACCACAAGCGGGTCTCTGCAAAAACTTAGTCTTTTGAATTGTGACTCGCACTGTTAATTTTAACGGGAAAAACTAACGTACGCTACCACTATCAACCAAAGGAGGTTATGAGCTGATATTACGAATAAAGGGGGTTATTTTCAAAACTTGTAACCTGAAGGGGGTTAAGTGCTATCTACACTACTAGAAATGCAGGTAGCCCTAATTAAATTATTTATTTTTATTCATTCAATTTTTCATTTGAAGCGGGAGAATAAGGGCGGGCAAATGTTGACGGTGGTGGATTGCTACATGAAAGAACATGGTGTGTCGAAGCAAGAAACTCTATGTAAGTTTGCGGAATTAGTGGAGGATAGATGGAAAGATGTGAACACGGAATGCATCGCGGAAACTTGGATAAACAAGGAAATGGTGGAGCTAGTTCTTAACTACGTGCGAATGTCCGAGTTTGTTTATAAGAATCGCGAAGACGGGTTTACGGATCCAGCAAGATCTTTCGCTCCACTCATTGTTTCTCTATTTGTGGATCCCATAGTACTCAATTGACTCTGTTTTTTTTCTTTCTTTTTTTCTTTTCCTTTTCTCATCCTTTGTGAACTCATTCGTGACATGCGATTTCTTTCATTGCTCTTTGGAGTTTGATTATTGCTTGTTCATTTGTTATTTTTTTTTAACTTTTTTTATATGTTTTTTGTACTTTTTATTAGTGTTTTAATAGGTAAATATGCTTAAATGGATAAATAATGAGTACAATTATATATGTTTTCCTGTATTAAATGCTTTTGATTGTCTAGCCAACAGTTGAATTGATTGTAAATGGGAATGCACTCGAGAGAGGATTTCTCGTTTGATTTTAGGAAAACATAGCTCGGTTTGTGGAAACGGAGACGTGATGCACCTCGGGTAGCCCTTAAGGACTTGACCTAAATGCTCTCTTAATATCAGGTTCCGTTAGGTTCTGAACGGAGACGTCGGACCTGTGGGTAGACTCTAACTACACTGGAGATGGGGGTTAGGGTATTTTAGTGTCTGGGTTAGCAAATATATAATTAACATTAGATTCGGATTTGTATATCTTTACCGATAGTACGTGGATTTTACCCTAGAAGCCACCACAAGTCGGAATTCCTCGCTTGTCCTGGCGGACCGTTGTTTTTATTTATTATTTCTTATTAGCTTCATTTCTCCCATTCTTTCGTCTGTCTAGATAGAGTTTAGGATAATCTAATTACGGTACTTGGTAAATTTAGGAACTTAATTCCCTGTGAATCGATATCTGGAATTCACTATTCTACAAAACGCAATACTATACACTTGCAGTTTTTCATACATAGGTTTCACACATCACAGCTCCGATGTTCTTTTTCGTCTCGTATGTCACCTCGTATATGAAATTCCACACCCTACGTGGCACTAGACACGTAGACGTTAGAAAATAACAAAAATAAAACAAGGAGAAGAAGGATACCGACGACGAGCAACGGCGACGACGGCAACGGATGAACGCGAGAGAGAGGGGGGGGGGGGGGGGGGCGACTAAGGTTTTCTCTTGTGTGTTCTTTCACAAGACTTTATAAATCAGTATTTTTGTAATCACACCAATGTCCTCGTCAATGGGAGTGCCAATTTACAATTTCCAATTTCCAATTTCCAAAATAGGAAACCCTAATTCGGTAGACATGCTAAATCGGGAAACTATCCAATTTAGAAAGCTCACTATATTATCGCCTAATTCTTTTCCTTCATTTATTCTAATTTGTAAACAACAATTACAAATATTGAACTCAATCAAAAAGTTCATGGAGCAAATTCTCTCCATCGTACAACTCCGAACTTTTCGCAGTGACAGTTTACAACAATATAGTCGAATTCAAGAACACAAGTCCTTCATATATAACTACATATATGTGGCGGAAAATCATTTCGACAGGATTATTTCATTCATCATGCTAATTAACTTGCATGTTCGAGTGGATATAGAAACATATATATATGGCCAGGCTTAATATCTCTCACATTCATCCTGCTTTAGAGAGTTGCCTTATTATGTTAATTATCTCTTCCGCTTTTGCCCCTCCTTTCGCGTGGGCAACCAATGGGCTGTCACCGGGGACAATATCGTCTCTTAGGTAACTTCCGGCGGTTCTGAGCAACTCCTCCGAACCCTTACTCACAATGTCTTTGAGAATGATTGTCTTGTGGGCCCCGGAAATCATTTCCTCATAATCCGTGTCTCCGGTTTCTCCGAGAATTACGTACATATTAGCCACATTTAATCTCCAACGGACGAAAAGATACCTAATTGTACAAAATCATCGAACAACAATAGAAAATCAGAAAAATCAGGAAAAATCAAAATCAAAATTGTAAGCGATGTGATGTGATTAATAGAGCGATGCATCTACATCAACAATCGCGAAAATAAATTGTTCTATTTGAAATATTAAAAGCGCTAAGGCTATATTGATTCGTTCAACGAAAACAGTGTAAAACAGTAGAAATGCGTAAAGTAATTTACACGTTTAATAAGAGCACTTGTTTGACGAGTAAAATAATTTTCATATTCCTCGTTTCAAAATCGCTGAAAACCGACACAGATCACCTCGTATATGCGCAATTCAATTTAAATGAAAATAAAGCGGTTAAAAAATATTACCTGAGAGCCTGCGAACGAGATGCAAGCAGAGGAACGACTTGCATTCTAGTGGAATTTCTGCAATACATCAAATGGCATCGAAGACCCCTCATCCTAAGTTTTTGTCTCATATCATCCACTTTTTTCGCCTACCAAAACAAAACACAATTATTAAAAAATTTAAATTAAAAAAAAAATCCAATTCCGTCGTCAAAATTAGAAACAAAAAAAAAAGTTACCTTGGTAAGATCCTTAATCGAGTATGAAAGACAATGCGAATTGCTCGATCTGGCATCTTCTTCAACCGCACATGAAAAACTCCCCGATTTGGCACCGCCACCTTCCGGTGTATTCATAAGCTTCCAAATAGTCTTCTTCAAACCATCCGACCCCCACCGATAATCAATATGCGTTGCATAATCGGGATCGGGACAAAGCTTTCCACCCCCCTCTACGTAAGCCCCTGGATAATAAACCTCGCTACCGCTACTACAAATCAACGCATCGAAATCTCCCACTTTCAAATTCCCCCGTTTCAAAAACTCCACCAACTCATACATCGGCATCGCGGTCGAAAGGGCGAATCCGGAAAACCTCGCAATTTGCGCGTCCAGTTTCACCGCTTTCAAAATCTCTTGTATCGTTTGAACCATCTTCTTCTCGGGCAATCCTCTTCCGTCGTAGCAATCGAGCGCCACCACAAATAGCTTACGGCGCCTCCTCAACACCGGGTACTTTCCGGATGCCGCCACGTCAGCCGGCAAGTCGCGTGGGCCCGCCGCCACGTCATCTTGCCTCCTGTTCATCCTACTCATGATGTGCTTCACCACGTCGTCGTTCGATTCGTTTAAGGATGTTCTGTGTTCGTTTAAGGATGTCTTGTCGCCATCGATGGATAGCCTCAAGGACATGTCGAGGACGTCCTTGAGGGAATCGTTGAGGGAATCTTCGGCCGCCAGCTCATCGGCCGGAGTGTCGGTCTGCCACTGGGGGTGCCGCATGCGGCAGGCGGCAACCCTGGTTAGGTAGGTGCGGCAGTGCTCCGGCCAAGAGAAGAGGTGGATGTTCTTTAAGCCGTTTCTCCGACACTCTTGCCATAGGTTCTTCTCCGATACCAACTTGAGAAGCGCGTCGGCTATTGCTTGCTGGTCGTGCGGGTCCACGAGAAGACCGTTGTTAAGTGCCTGTTAGCCGATCAAATGAAAATTTATTCGTCGAAAGAGTTTTATCACATTTAGTACATGTGATTGTGACGTATCGAATTGCCAAACAAATAAAAAAAAAATTTAACGTGTTATTGATAGTAGCAAAATTCCCCTTATCATGCATCTTTTTTAGCACATTACAGCCTAAATAGAGTGGTTTTTAGGGGACGGTTTGGTAAAACAAATTGAATCGTAGGGGGTTTTTGCTAATAAAATAATACAGGGACTTTTTTAGCAATTAGAGAAAACATAGGGGTGTTGAATGCAATAAACCAAAAGGGTGTATTGCATTTAGCACTGTTGTGTTTACTAAGCGGTTTACTCCAACTGTCAAAAAACTCCCCGTGTTGTAAATATTAGCAAAATCACCCCTATGATTCAATTTTATTAGCAAATTACTCCCTAAAACGTACGCACTATTAAGGGGTTCGTGTGCTGAAAAAATGCATTACAGGGGTTTTTTTGCTAATATTTATAACACGGGGGCTTTTTCACAATTAGAGTAAACACAAGTGTGCTAAATGCAATAAACTCCGATTATAACATCAATCAGATCACAAAATAATATATTGTTTTTTATACCCGATGAATATCCACCGGCCCACCATTCTTAGTTGCCACCATCGGGAGTCCATGAGCAGCGGCCTATAATTCAAGAATCGAAAGTCGACAGACTAATAATGTCAATTTAATGTAAGTGGAGCAAATTTAGAGGAATTAATTTAAGTACGTCAACACAAACCTCGATTAATGTAAGTCCAAATGGCTCAATAACAGCTGGATTTATGAATACTCCCTGTAATAAAGATTCACATAATCACATTCAAAAATTTAATACCCGAGATAGTTGTTAAGTAAATTCTACCGAATTAAAAATCAAACCTTTGTTTTGCCAGCAAGGCGGTAAATATCAGGAACATCGCTTTGCTTGTGATGCTTAGGGAAAGCTACTTGCCCGTATAAGTCGTACTTGTCGATAAGCTTCAGTACAGTAATGAGTACACTAGCATTTCCGCCCGACATTTCATCTATATCGTCTCTATTCCCCATTATAAGAGTCTGCATAATTTTTTCATTATTTATTTATTTATGTCCGTATATATATTTTTTAAATACATGCGTTTGGCAAAAATACTTACGAGATTTGCAAGCTCTCGTAAGGGGCGGCATTCTCCAAAGGCTTTTATGAGTGTTGTTAAATTCTTCTTGGGATCGGGCCGCGATAGTGCGAGAATCATCGGTTTGTGTGGATTCGTCAAAAAACGCATCACCTAAAAAAAAAAATTGTTACGACAAAATATCAACACGAAATCAGTGTATATAATTCTGATGGTAAAAGAGTAATTATGGGCATGCGATGCTTACTTCCGACCATATAGTAGGGACCGCTTTGGGCGACGACCCCTCGGAATTGGTTACTGCCGCCAGGTCACCATCGGTGTCGGCAAGATCTTCTTGAACTTCAACATTGCTGAAGTCCATCCCAGGTGGAATAACCTACAGAATAATATGAATACATACATAAATATATGTTAATTTCCAAGAATAATAAAGACAAGTGGGAAACAAGAAAAGTTTAAGATGAGTTCATTGCATTTAGCACCCCGTATTACAAATATTAGCAAAAACACCCCTATAATCCATTTTTTTAACAAAATTACCTCCTAATAAACACACCATTTAGGAGGTCGTGCGCTAAACAAATGCACCATAGGGGGGTTTTTGCAAATATTTATAATAAAAGAATTTTTTTTAACAGTTCACATTACAAATATTAGCAAAAACACCCCTGTGGGCTGTGAACCAATTTTTAAGCAAATTAGCTCCTAAAAACACACCATTTAGGAGGTAGTGCGCTAAAAAAAGTGCATTATAGGGGTTTTTTGCAAATATTCTTCGTCTTACTAATATTAGCAAACACCCCTATGATGCAATTTTTAAGCAAATTACCTCTCAAAACACACCGTTTAGGGGTTCGTGCGCTAAAATAATGCATCATACCACAAGTTCGTTTTAAGCAGTTTGATTAAAAAAAAAAAAGGAAGCTGCTTACAGCCATGCGAGGCATAAATCGGCCGTGACAATTAACACCGCGCCTCCCACGCGCCCTCAAAACCTTCTCGAGCTTAACATCAAACCCGTCGTACAACCCCCATTGTTCATCAATCTCCTGTTTGGTACTCGTGATAACCAACTCCGCCGCATCTAAAGAAAGCTCCTCCGCCTCGATCCTCCTCATAATCCTATACGTCGAGTTAATATCCTCCTTCGACTGCCTCCCTTGCTTAAGAAGCTGCTCAAGCTTATTCCTCCCCAATGAGTGCCCCGTCAAAACCATCGGCACATTCAATGCACCCGACAAAAGGGCCGCACTATCGCCCGCGTCGGCATAATGCCCGTGGATCACATACGGCCAAACGGGTTGACCCGCCCCGATTTGCTCGCCCAGTGCTTTCGACATGTTGAGAATGTGGGCCAGGGCGCCGTCAACGAATTCGGGTATGTGGGGCCAGAGGAGCTCCTTTCGGAGGTACTTGTCCGTGGGGCCGAACGGGATTCTTACGATGTAGGCCCCACTGCTTTCGCCTAGGTCCGCGGAATCTTCTTCGGAGGTTGCGGAGAGCATCTCGGTTGGCTCGCCGTAGCTCCAGTCGACTTCCGGGGATGACACCTGGCGGGTGAATAGGTCCACTCGGTATACGCCCGGCATTTTCGCTAGCGCTCGTGCGAGCTCTACTATGTATTTTATCTGTCGATTTAATATTTTTTTTTAAAATGAAAGTTATTATTGATCATGATATGTATATTAAGAAAACGAGGAATTAGATTTTGATCAAACAACCCAATCTTTGTGTAATTAGAAATCTCTAATAGACGTAACAAAGTATCAAACTATCATACCTACTAATTAACGAGTGCTCGAGCGAGCCCTATGGTAAATTTAATCCGTCGTTTCAAATACAGTTAAGCCTCTATAACTTAATACAGTCGGGATCAGGGAAATTCTATTAATTTAGCGAATTATTAAATGATCGAGTTAATAATTTAACATGTTTTCAGTTTTCCCCGAGTCGGGGACCGGGAGAAACTATTATTTGATCGAGGTTATTAAATTTATCAAGTTTCTACTGTAAAATCCAAGTTAACGAGGTCAAAGCAAGCATATTGTATAGTACCTGACCACCAGTATCGGAATCCCGACCAAGCTCCATGTTTTCACCACGAACCAAACCGTGTAAACTGTAGAAAAATATTACCACACCGTAACTCTTAATAAAGCATAATTAACAATTAAAAACTATGCTAAGATATTATAAATTTACCTAATAAGAACAATATAAAGCTTCTTCTCGACGTTACTATCGGACCAAACTTCCAAATTAGAAAAGTTGCGTTGGAACTTTTTCCTGGGGCTGTCGAGCGTAACTGCCTCGCCTAATACATCTCCTTTTTCTCCTTCGGACAAATCTTCCGACATGTCTTCCGTCACATCTTTGCGACCTTGTTCTCTCTCCCATCTCCGATCCGTTAGCCTTTGCAAATCCTCCCATTCCAACTATCGAACGAGACACAAATTAAATTCAAAATAGTTATAAAAAAAAAAGAATGGACTATAAAGTAATAGAATACATGCACCACTTGTGTGACTATTGATTTTCGGTATTAAAATAAATAAGAATTGTTATGTGACACTGTGATAAGATAATAGAGATTGAATTGAATTACTCTGGCCCTCACAAATTGTGTAGAGCAGAATTCTGAGATCGAGAAAAAGCAGTACAAACAGTAATTGACAAAAGAATGCTTTTCTCGCAACTCCGTTTTTTAGTTGCAATTCAACATGCAAAATTGATGGATGTATATATTATGTTGTTGTGTTTGTATATTCATCATCATATAAAGACAGGGGTTAAAAAGCAAATTGTGATTCTTGATACAGAAATTTTTCTCCCTCCCCCACCCCCTGACAACCCCCACCCCACCCCCACCCCCCAGAAAATCCCCAAAACACACACATAATCACACATTACCATCAAGAATCCCATTGAAAAATCACCTGAATACAACACAAACACACACACACACACACACACACACACACACTATCAAGAATCCCTTTGAAATGAAAAATCCCTGAATACAACACACAAACACACACACACTATCAAGAATCCCTTTGAAAAATCACCTGAATACAGCACACACACACACACAAAATCAAGAACCCAATTGAAAATCGGATTAAAAAAAAACCCATTGAAATCCCCCGAAAATAGAAAAACACACACACACACTAACACACAATCAAGAATCCCATTGAAATCCCCAAAAAATAGAACAAAACACACACACACTGTGAAGAATATTAGTCAAATCTCCGGGGAAAAAAAAAAAACCAAAACAGAACAGAGGAACCACTATACATCAAGAGCTCAATTCAAAAACCACCTGAAAACATAGGAATCGTACACACAAACACCGTATATACATATTCTTGAGGCGAGAGAGAGAGAGAGAGAGAGAGACCTGTTTCTTCTTGCGGGCGAGATGCCAAATGCGCCAGCACATATTCTCGAGGCGAGAGCTCCTCTCCCTTGTATTCCTGGTAGCGACAACCTTAATCCAAGTCCGATGAAGATCACTCTCATCGACACCTGTCACCACTTCCTCCACAAAGTATTTCGTCGGATTGAAATGCCCCCTGTCCTTCACCCTCACCGCCACCGCCGCCTTGTTCTCATCAATCGCCGACGCGCCGCTGTCCAGTATCGCCTCCAAATACCCGTTTATCCACTCGTTCCCAGCCATTCTTTTTTCCCCCCCAAATAAATATTTATTTTTATATTTATATTACTGAATTGTGAATATTGAGTAAAGAAAAGGGAGGAGGTAGTTCACAATTCACATGCAAGAGAGTTTCAGTTTCAGTTTCAGTCAGCCTTCTTTTTATAACTCCTCTTTTTCTTTCTTTCATTTTCCGTTTTTTTTATTATTTGTGAGTGTGTATAAAAATATATAAATATAAATATATATACATCGTGTGTATATGCTCTGATAATGGAGATGTGTAATTACATACTGTGTGTGTTTTTGTGGGAAGATTAGAAAGAGGAATAAGAGAAAGAGAGAGAGAGAGAGAGAGAGAGAGAGGAGGGAGATTGGCTTGGGGAGAGAACCTCATCGCGGTTTGGAGGTGGGTCCCACTACCCGACACGTGGAGTGCAGATCTGATGGGGTTTAATGGTTCCTCCATGTATCACGCTTGTGACGAGATCGAACAAATTTAGTTTTTTTTTTATTTTTTTCAATTTCTCTAAATTCTGCCTTCTTTAATATAATTATTTTCTAAGTAATTTTTTTTGAAACAAATGAAAAAAGAAAAATGAAAAGCAGTTAAAGTTTTCATTTTCTTCATACATCTAATTTTTTTTAAACTGAATTATGTATACACATAATTTTATAGTTAATAAATTTCTATTTATTTCTCACATATACATGGAATGTACGTACAAAGTTGTTAATCTGGACTGTGTGTACACATATTTCAATATTGTTCGGTTCCCATGGATGCTTTTGGGGTGGTTTATAGTCCTTAAGACGGCACCATGAGTACTGTGCTAGTATTTTAATTTAATCCGTTGTTTCTTTATATTAAAGTATGATTGATAGGTTTTTAATCATGAATTAACCTTCATTTGCTATTAAATATACAACATTCTATTATGGATTTCTTTCTTCAACAATTCATTTGCTACTAAATTATAGAATTATGAATTTCTTTCTTCAACAAAGAACCGAAGACATGCAAGCAAATTATTTTGGTGATTTATGGCAATGACTCAGCCGACAAAACAATTATGCTTGAGATGCTCCTCTGGGCTTTAGGATATGATCCGCCTGTCAGTATTTTATTGATATATGAGGATGTTAATTTTACTGCCACTTTCAATCGATTGAGCTCGAAAAAATACAATATTATGGTGACGCACCAAAATCAAGATTAACGAGTAGAATTCCCAGACTCTCCTATCTTCAGCCATATGCATTTGGTCTTTTAGAGATCTCATTGAAGGTAGATCACCATCCATATCCATTGATAAATTATGGACGAATCGATTATATTCCATCTGTATCATCTTTGATAAGAAAATTGGTTTTTCAAGACAAAGAAGTTCATTCCAGTCCTTCGATTCAGCTTATTTCTAGAATAAATGATGTTGACTTGTTAACATCTTCCATGTTGGAAGCAGTCAACTTATCATGAATGTGTTTTGCTACAATGTTTGAAGTTTCTTGGATAATTTTGAAATGAAGTTCATACTTCTATTTATACTAAGTCACCTCCTTAATGAATGGTACGATAGAGATAATCTACAGACTAGGAGTTGTTCAGTAGAACACTTTAAAAACTTACTATAAAAATATCTATCAAAGAGGGTTTTAATAATATTCTATAATTCTCTACAAATACTATTTATATTGGAGCTTAATTAGGTATATCTCCATTGAACTAAGAGGGTGTTTGGCTAGACATATAAAATGTTAAAAAAAGTTTATAAAATGTTTAAGAACTTATAAACTTTTCTAAAATGTTTGGTAAATTTTTCAAAAAATATCTTAAAAATTCGATAATAAGCTAATGGAGACATCCTCGCCACCACCACAAAATATCTTATAATCAGTAAAAATAGCTTATAAACTCATTATCGAAACACTTTATAAATAAATTAGAAGAATAAGACTTCACAGTTCATCAACTCGTCAAATAGCTTATTAATCGTAAGAGTTTATCAGTTGTTTAAAATAAATTTAGTCAAACAAGTTCTAAGTCGTTAACTTATTTTGTTGGATCAGACTAAACATCTAAAACCCACGGAGAGCTGACAATCGATTAACTCAAATATGACGGTCTGTAACGAGCGCAGGGAGGGGAGTGTGGCCCCGAGATTTAAAAAAAAAATTAGTATCTGTTAGTTATATATTTTGAATCTACAACATATCTAAATTACCCTAGTAACAATGAATAAAAAATTAAGGTCGAACTTGACATAGACCCATAAATTCAAATTTCATTACCTAAAAGCCTATCTTTTAAACTTTTATTTCAAATAAATTCACAAAAACATCAATTCTCAAAATAGTGCTATATATTTATGTTTGAAATAAGTCCAACCCACTCCCATCCCATCGCACCCGCCCACCAGGACAATCTGACTCGGTCCGGTCTGATTTTCTTTTTTTCTTTTTCATTTTTAGAATTTTTTAACTCAGCATTAGTTAACTTCAATATTAGTTAACTTAAACAATCCATTTTTTTGCTTTTTATTTTAATTTCCGATGGCGGGTCGTTGGAGCTCTGATTAGCTTATTCAACATTAATTAACTTCAACATTAGTTAACTTTAGTTAACTTAAACATTTAACATTAAAACTGCCAAGTGCCAGTACGCTTAGTCAGCTAATCTGAGTCCTAAATACCCACCACCGAAAAAAAAAGAGTTAAAAGAAAAAAGTAAAAATATGATCGGATGTTAGCTAATGCATAGTCAGTTAATTAGAGTTTCGACGTCGCGTTGCTGGAAAAAAAATTAAAAGAAAAAAAGTTGGACGTCAACTAATGTTGAAGTCCACTAATACGTAGTGTGCTAATACAAGTCAACTAATCAGAGCCGGCGACCCGCCTCCCAAAAAAAATAGACAAAAAAAATATGTCAACTAATGTTGAAGTTAACTAATGCTGAGTCAGCTAACCGGAGCTCCGACGAACAGCCACTGGAAAAAAAAAAGAAAAAAAAAAAGAAAAGGGATGTCAATTAATGTTAAAGTTAAGTAATGTTGAAGTTAACTAACGTGGAGCCAGCTAACCGGAGTTCCGACAACTCACCAGCGGAAATAAATTAAAAGGAGAGAAAACAAATAAAAGATAAAAAATGGAATGTCAAATTTCAACTAATGTTGAAGTTAACTAATGTTGAGTCAGCTAACCGGAGCTCCGACGACCCGCCATCGGAAATTAAAAAACAAAAAAAAAAGACAAAAGAAATGGAATATCAACTAATGCGGAGTCAGCTAACCAAAGCTCCGACGACTCGCTGTCGGAAAAAAAAATAAAAATAAAAAGATAAAAGAAAAAAAATAATGCCAACTAATTGAAGTTAACTAGATGAGTGAGCTAATTAGAGCTCTGACGACTCGACGCCAGAAAAATATTAAATAAAAAAAAATAGATTAAAGAAAAAAAAATGAATGTCAACTAATGCTCAGTCAGCTAACCGGGGCTCCCGACCACTCAAGCCACCGCTTAGAAAAAAATTAAACAAATAAATGAACATAATAATAAGCAAAATAAAATAAGAAAAAAAACCCTAATTAGGGTTTGAATGGATAAAACTGATATAAGCTAATTATTTGGGTTTATATCAAATGAAACTTATAATTAATGGGTTTTACGCAAAAGTATAAAAAAATATTGGGCTTATCTCATATTATGTTAGTTCGTGAAGGGACTATCTCAAATAATCCAAAAATTAAATTATAAATAAACCCCTGAGGTATGTCTATATTACGAATATTTTTTTATGCGAGTAACTAAAGTTGGAAGGATCTTCATATTCTACTTTTCGTTGGTCTCATCCACCTATGTATATCCGTTCAACTTCTTTCCACCAATCCATATGCGATATCAATGGTAAACGGGAAAAGCATCTTTCGCTTTCAAAAGAATATACCTCTATTGAGTGCGCCTTTACTGCATGAGAATATTTTTTATTTCAATATATTCTGAACTTTTGTATTTGGAAATTTTTCTTATATCTTTAATGTATACAAAAAAAGAAAAAAAATGCAATGTTATCTATTTTCATACCACGAGTTGTAAGAGTATAAATTATTATCAAATTTTATGTAGTATGGAAACTTCAACTTCTTTATGTTTTTGTATTTTGGAGTGTCAGTCTAGCCGGGTCTACCCGAAACTTGATCGCTCGACTCAAATTTTTGCATTTAAAAAAGGGGGTTTTATGCATAAGTTCATGACCATCCATCTTTATTATTTTGGGTTCATGTCTCTTTCGCCAATAAGCTCATCCCTTTAATTAGTAGGTATTATAAATAATAGTAAACTGCAAAAAAGTAACAATGTGTAATCTTCGAATAGCAAAAACCCCCCATTTGATAAATAAACTAGCAAAAACCCCATGTGAAATTTAGTCAAAGGCAGAAATCTCCCTGGTTGACTTTCGTGTGGCTCACTCGTGGGATGTGCGACTGGTAGTTGGTTTTTTGACGTGAAATGACGAAATTGACTCTAAAAAAAAAAGAAAAAAAATATATATATATATATATATATTCTTTTTAATTTGATTGTTTAGAAATTAAAATATTATTAAAAAATAGTAAACAATTAAATTGAAAAATTATTAAAAATTTGGTAATCAAAATAAGTATAATTTCTTTAGATATAGGGGTAATTTAAAATATATACATAAAGTATCTGAAAATAAAAATAGAATAATAAATTATCTAATTAAGATATAAATAAAATAAAATAATTAAAATATTTAAAAAATATAAGAATTTATTAAGTGTAAAACTCAGGTGGTGTTTATGTCTTTTTATATCCAATTAACAATTCAAATGAATAATGGGTTGAGTGTGCTCTATAAATAATTTCATAGGGGTTTTTGCTAGTTTATTTATCTTATGGGGGGTTTTTGCAGTTTGGAGATTACATAGGGGTACTTTTTGCAGTTTACTCTACAAATAAAGGCAAAATTAATGCATATGACAAAATTACCCCCAAAGTCAATGACCACCCATCTTTATTATTCTAAGCTCATGTATCTTTCACCAATAAGTTCATTCATTTAATAGGTAATATAAATTAAGGCAAAATTAATGTATATGACAAAATTACCCCCGACTCTTTAAACTCAATTCCAAACTATAACTCCAATTTAACTTCAATTTTGACCATAAAAATTCAATTTTGCCTTTTTCTTTTTTAAATTTATTTTTCTGTTTGCTTTTTGGGCCGCATGTTTCCTGCGTTGATTTTTTTTTTTTTTACGTCGCCGATTTCCGGAGCTGACCGGCGGTCA